CCCCCCCCCAAACCCCCCCATTCCCAAACAAACAAAGCCCCCAAAAGGAAGAAGATAGAAGATCAAGTAAGGGATTCACACATGATATTTCCAGTATGCCTGTCCTTGTGTTGTGTTGCTTCTCTTGTCAGCTTTTATTTTTCACTTGTTAGTGCACTAATCATCCTGTCTCTCAGCTATTTCATTCTTGGGTTTTGGCTCTTCTGTGGTGTTAATATGAAATTAATGTTGGTGGATCATTTAGACAGTGGTGAATTATTGCTTAACACACGTGAGTGGTAAGTAGGTGGGCTAGAGTGCTGTTATGAATTTAGTAGATGTTGGATTGCAGAAGTGTTTGAAAGTGGACAAGAAGGTGCTGTTTTGCTTTCCAGATCTATAGAGTACTCTTTTCTTGTTAAATACCGGTGAGTAGTTGGACCAACTGTGCAGAAATTATGTAGATGTTGTATCTTAAAGTGATTGATGTGCAACAGAAGGTGGAGTTTTTACCTTCAGGAGTTACGAATCCATTGGGAATGCTTCAACTTACATTTCTTTTGACAGCTTTAAATAAATTCACATCAATAAAATTACATATTTGAATAACCATGTATTTATCTGTCAGCTTACAGCTTGTTCAGTTGCTTTTTGAGTTTTTAAAATGAACCAGTGTCTACGGCTGTGCACACTATGGGAAGAGTAGACTCTCTATTCCTTATAAATGTTTGTTTCTTTAAAAAAGAAACAACTACCTTTTACCACATTGCCTTGATATCCTCTTTTACGGTCTGTGGGAGTCTTCATGTTTATGTGTTTCTTTTTGATTTCTTGATCTGAATGGCTTGGGAATCTTGTTTCTTGGGGGAGGTAGGTCGGTTTTACATGTGTGTTGAGTTATAGGGGCTGGTCAAGGCTTATTGATAGTGGTTGATCCAGGATTTGAACATCTCGTTTTCTACTAATGGTTGGAGCTACTAAAATGAATGTAGCTTCTGAGACTCATCTCAACATATTTCACTATCCGGATCTCATACTTATCTAATGCTATGGGTTCGAATGCTGTTTCTTTTACATACATTCAGTTAACATTTTCAAATTTCTGGTACAAACTCCACTGTCTTGGGCAGAACTGAGAGCTACTTAGCTGGTTTTGCCAATGCTACATTTTCTTGGATAGAAATGTTACCCTCCTGCACAATGCATCTGGAGGTAAGTTTTGAGTGATTGTTTCATACTTCCTAGTTCTCTTTTATTGTAGTAATTGAGCAAGCAAATATTTTCTAAGAAAACTTGGATGTTAATATTCTTTGTAAAAGCCTTGAATGATGACCTCCTTGACATCAATCACCAAGCCATCACATGTTGAATTTTTCATTTTCTTAAGTTTTGGTGGCAGATCATCTCATTTTGTGTTGGTAGGATATAGCAAATAACCGGTGAATATATAGAGATGCGCGCATTACTATTCACAACACACAGAAATTGTGAACTCTACTCTGTGTTACTCAAGATTTTTAATCTGTAATTCAGATTTTACAACATCGGAGGAATTGAAATTTCACCAAACTTATTGGTATAAAGAGTAAGGGTGTGCTCAGTATGAAGGAAAATGTTTTTTTAGGAAAGTTAGTTTGTTTCTTACCTATTTACTTGTGTTGGATATATTCCCTAAAGGCATTTGGAAGGTATGATCGTATGTGCAGTTCGATTATGTTCAACGTGCTATTTACCCTTTTTTTAATATGATTTTGTATTCTAATCTAGTATAAAAATAAGGGAAAAGGGTCAAAAATACCCCTCAACTTTGGTTTATTAGTTGACTATGCCCTTACTGTTAATACGGAGTTATTCTTACCCTTGCCGCTACTAATTTCATCATTTGTGCTCCTATGTTGACGGAAATCCCCAAATTGACTCAAATTAACTCGAATTTTCAAAAACAACTTATTTCCCATTTTAAATCCAATGCCTCGACAACTCTAATGTATAATCTATTCCCTTTTTACCCATTTCCATTTACCATTCCCTTCTACCTATTCTCTCTCTCAAAAGACAAACTCACAACCTAACCTAAGTCGAAGAACAATGAAATTGGGGACATTTTAGCTCTCTTCTCCATCAGAATTTCTACTAGACGTTGTTAAGGGATGGCAATGGGGCGGGGGTGGGGTGGGTTTAAGGTTATGCTACGCGGGGGCGGGGAGGATTAAGGCTACGAGGGACGGGGCGGGTTTAGGGTTGTGCGAGACGGATATATGTGATTTTATGTGGGTTCAAGCTTAATTTTAACTTTTTACATGTATAAGAGTGATAGAACATTATTTATTAATATAATTTCTTTAAAGCTGCTAAAATATTCAAGATAGTAAATGAAAATTGTTCAATAAAAAATAATACAATTTCTTACATGTTTCCCAACTGACCTTTAAAAAATAATTTTGTAAGTCACTATCTTGTTATATTAATACAACTAAATGAAAAATGAATTTATTTGTATGAATTTTATTTTTAGTATCAAACTTAACTAGAAAAAGAAAATATTATAAAAATAAGATGAGGGGCGGGTTCATGTGGGGCGGGTCTATGTGGGGTGGGGTGGGTTGAAAAGAAAAAGGTTGTTATGCGGGGTAGAGCGAATTAAAAATTTGCAGGTTAAGCTCAACCCGCCCCACCCTCTCACCGCACCGCCTCATTGCCATCCTTATTAAGGTATCAAATTTAACCTACCTTCTCTGATTATTGTCATTTTATAAAGTTTAGTTGTTGATTTACGAGTTAGAGTTTGTGGGTTAAGCTTTTATACTAATTTCTGAGTTATTGGTTTGCCTTTTTTACCGATAAAATTTACGATATGTTAGTTTAGTTGTTGATTTACAAGTTAGGATTTGTGGGTTAAGCTTTTATACTAATTTCTGAGTTAATGGTTTGCCTTTTTTACCGATAAAATTTTACGATATGTTAGTTTAATTTTTGATTTACAAGTTAGGATTTGTGGGTTAAGCTTTTATACTAATTTCTGAGTTATTGGTTTGCCTTTTTTACCGATAAAATTTTACGATATGTTAGTTTAATTTTTGATTTACAAGTTAGGATTTGTGGGTTAAGCTTTTATACTAATTTCTGAGTTATTGGTTTGCCTTTTTTACCGATAAAATTTTACGATATGTTAGTTTAATTGTTGATTAACAAGTTAGGATTTGTGGGTTAAGGTTTTATTCGAATTTTTTAGTTATTGGTTCGCCTTTTATCGATAAAATTTTACGATCTATTAGTTTAGTTGTTGATTTACGAGTTAGGGCTTGTGGGTTAAAGTTTTATTCAAATTTTTGAGTTAATGGTTTGCTTTCTTACACGTTAGGGTTTGTGGTAGGTTATAGGGTATTGTATGATTTTGGAGGAGGTGATTTAGGTATTGGAGATTTGTGGTCCCAATATTTTATTCATTCTTGATTGAATGTGGTGCCTAGTTTGTTTGTTGAAATGTTATAGTTTTTAATTTGTTTGTTGTCTTTGTGTGCCTTTTTATTTGTTTTTTACTATTTTTAGTTAATGTTTAGTTAATCTTTCTATCTCATTATTGCTTTTGTAAAGTGGTTTAGTTTCGAAAGTTGTTAATGTTTTTTTTGTGTGTCTCAGGTTACCTAAAATGGTTTTGGTTGATATGGCATTTCACTATGATGGAGAATGGATAAGAGAGCCTAAGTTGCTTTATGAAAGAAAGCTTGTTCACAAATGGGAAGGTTATGATTCTGATCTCTTATATTTTATAGATATTACTAATGAATACAATGATAAATTAGGATATGTGAGTGTGCAACAATTAATTGTATATGTCCCTACTGAAAAATACTATGAAATAGTAGATGATGAGGGGATTAGGACATTATTTGTCCTTTGTTCATGAAAATTTTGATGTTATTAACTTATTTGTTGTTGAGGATAGTGAGTTAGATGTTGATATTCAGTATATAATCAAAATGAAAGAGAGTGTGATTGTGATTGATGAAGTAGCTACTGATTGCACTTCTGCTGATGGTACTGATAATGACAGTGATACTTCCTCTGATAATTCTGAAGAATTAGAGGTTCTTGCACAAGAAAGAAAGAGGGTAATCGATTGTAGCTTTTGTGATTACAAGGATTTACATAGGTCACTGGCATTTAAGGGTATAGTTGAAGCTAGAAGATACATTAGTTTACATGCATTGGCAAATGACTATAATTCAACCTTTAAAAAAAGTGACTAAAAAGGGTTTGGGGTTGTTTGCAAAGAAGAATGCAACTTTGTATGCCTAATTTCTGGTGAAAAGCATTCTTTGGTGTTAGTGTGAAAACATTGAAAGGAGAGCATAAATGTAATGATCTATGTGGTAACTGCAAGGCTAGTGCAACTACAATTGCTTTCTACTTTAAGAAAAAGTTTGCAGGCTAATCCCAAATACAAGATAAAGGAAATGAGAGTTGATCTCAAAACTGCTTTCAACATTAAAGCTCATTTTGAAAAGTGTAAAAGAGCTAAAAGAATGATTTTGGATATGGAAGGCAGTTTTTGTGATGATTATAAAAAGCTTGTTGGGTATGCAAATGCTTTAAGAGAGAATAATATAGAAAGTGATGTTGTCTTTAAGGTTTCAAGAGATGCATTATTAGATGGAAAAAGGAAATTTTGAGAATGTACATTTGTTTTGAAGCAATGAATAATGGTTTTAAGAATGAATTGAGACCTTTCATTGGCCTGGATGGTACATTTTTGAAGATAAAGCTATAGGTCAGCTGTTATGTGTTATTGGTCAGGACTCAATGAACCATTTTTATCCTATTGCTTGGGCCATTGTGGACAGTGAACCATTTTTATCCTATTGCTTGGGACATTGTGGACAGAGAGTGCAAGGTATCTTGGGTGTGGTCTTGGAATTGCTTTAGAAATCTCTAAACATCAACAATGGAGAAGAAATCTCATTTATCTCTGATATACAAAAGGTAAAATCTCACAAATTTGTTCATTCTTACTTATGTATCTTTATCTTATGTATTTTTATTCGTTGTTGTCACTGGATATCTATATATCATTATCTTATGTATTTTCATTTTTCATGTATATATTTATGACCGATAAACACTATTTTACCAAATGCTCTACATAGATATTGTGTGAGACACATAGAGGCCAATTGAAGAAGAAATAGTAAGAAATTTAAATTGATGTCTAAGGTATTGCGGTGGTGTGCATTGAGAACCTACAAAGAGAAATTGGATGATCATTTGAAGACATTAGGTTGAATGTCTGAAGAAGCAAATGACCATTTGTTGCATTTTTCAATACACACTTGGTGTAGAGTATTTTTTGACACTAATTGCAAGAATAATAAGGTGAAAAATAATTTGGCTGAGTCATTCAACTCTTGGATATTGGACGCAAGACACAAATCAACAATTGGGTTGCTTGAGGATATAAGAATCAAAGTTATGACCAAGTTTGTAATGAACTGATGACCTGAAACTGTGATTGGAGTCCAACATCTATTGAAATTTACAATAAATTCTTGAAGATTGCTAATGTGTGTAAATTAAATTCCAATAGAGATGATGGATATGAGGTAAGTGAAGGAAATGACAAGCATATTTTCAACTAAGAAATGCACCTACAAGGTATGGGATCTTAGTGAAATACCATGTCCCCATTCAATCAAGGCACTGCTTTATAAGAATCTTGATCCATTGAAAGAGATTCACTAGTGGTACTCTAATGAGACATATTTTTTGACTTACCATTGTAAACTACAATTAGTGCCTGGTCAAAAATTCTGAAAAATTGAAGCAGAACGAGTAATGGAACCACCAGAATTGGTAAATTTAGCTGACAGACCTAGAATGAATAGAAAAAGAGATAAAAATGAAGCACTTAAAAGACAAATTGAGTGGGTTGCACTAAGAAGAGGGAAAAAAATGACATGTTCAAGCCGTGAGAATCCTGGACCCAATGCAAGAAGTTGTCATAAGGTAAAACATTTCATTTGTTATGTAATCAGTTATTTGTTAGTGTCCTATGCCCCTTATGACAATTACAAGAATCTAACAAATACCCCCTCTGTTTAAAAAAGAATGGCCTAGTTTGACTTGGAACGAAGTTTAAGAAAAGAAAGAAGACTTTTTAATCTTGTGATTCTAAATTAAAGTTGTGTCAAATGTACCAAAATGTCATTTAATCTTGTGGCCTTAAACATGCCACGTGGAAAGTTGAAGTTAAAGTGTTGCCAAAAAAAGAAATAGGCCATTATTCTTTTTGAAACAAACAAAAAAGGAAATAGAGCCATTCTTTTTGAAACAGAAGGAGTAACTGATTACATAACAAATGAAGTGTTTTACCTTATGACAACTTGCATTGTGTCCAGGAATTCTATAGCTTGAGCATGTTATTTTTTCTCTCTTCTTGGTGCAACCCACACAGTTTGTCTTTTAAGTGCTTCATCTTTATCTATTTTCTTATTCATTCTAGGTCTATCAACTAAATTTACCAATTCTGGTGGTTCAATTGCTTGTTCTTCTATTTTTCAGAATTTTTGACCAAGCAATGGTTGTAGTTTATAATGGTAAGTCAAAAGATATGCCTCCTTAGAGTACCACCAGTGAAATTCTTGTAGAGAAGTGCCTTGATTGAATGGGGACATGGTATTGCAGCAAAATGACATACTGAAAAAATGCATTTCTTAGTTGCCAAATTGACAATATGCTTGTCATTTTCTTTACTTACCTCAAATCCATCATCTCCATTGAAATTTAATTTACACACATTAGCAATCTTCAAGAATTCATTGTAAATTTCAATAGATGTTGGACTCCAATCACAGCTCTAGGTCATCAGTTCATTACAAACATGGTCATAGCTTTGATTCTTATATCCTCAAGCATCCTAATTATTGGTTTGTGTCTTGCTTTCAATATATAAGAGTTGAATGACTCAGCCAAATTATTTTCCACCTTATTATTCTTGCGAATAGTGTCAAAAAATATTCTACGCCAAGTTTGTATTGGAAAATGAGACAAATGGTCTTTTGCTTCTTCAGACATTTGACCTAATGTCTTCAAATGATCATCCAAATCCTCTTTGTAGCTGCTCCATGCACAATACCTTAGACACCAGTTTAGATTTCTTACCCCTTTTTTCT